CTTTTGTAATTTAGTTGTTTTCATTACTTAAGGTGAAGGCTTGCTTGTGGTATTGGCCTCACTATTCCTATCCTTTTGTACTGGGAAGAGTTCATCATAGATAGAAACCAACCTGGATTGCTCTGGTTTGAACTCAGAAGTCTTGAAAGCGGGGAAAAAATGTATAAAATAGGTGGAGTGTGAGGAAAGGAAGTGATAGAGCTGAAATGAGAATGGAGTGGCAGAAGGGCCAGTCCCTAAACTAAGCTGGTCCAGAAGGAAACAGTCTGGCTTTGTTTCTGGTTTCTGCTGCCATGCCTGGAAATCAGAAGGAGCTCATCTCCAGAGTGTGGAAGTTGCCCTGATGGTCCTGTGAAAGCAAAGCATTTTAGAATTCCTCCTTTTTTTTTTTTTTTTTAAGTTGTTGCAGCAGCCTCTCAGGCTGAGCAGTCCCAGTGCTGGATGTGCTGGGAGTGCTCTGGCACAGGGTGAAGGCAAAGCCCTTGGTGGTGGCTGTGAAGAGGAGGTGGCTCCCATTGCACCCTTCTGAGAACCCTTCCCTTCCGTGCCCTCTCTCCTTGTTTGCTCTGGAGGTTCAGTTTTGCAGCTGACTGGCTGTATTTTTAGGACAGGCTGTGTTTGTGACTGATTACAGGACATTTGGATACAACTGACAAATCCCATTCTCAGCTTGTTTCCTTTAGATTTAGGCTGGGCAAATAAAGCAATGTTTTATAATATATATGTATATTAGATGGAGTGCTGCTGCTGCAATTCAATCTGTGTGCAATTCTTTCAGCACCCAGTGCTCCCAGCTTCCTGGCCTTCTCTGAAATCACCTGCACAACCCTCAACGTGTCTTGGGGCGAGCCAACAGCAGCAAATGGAGTCCTGCAGGGTTATCGAGTTGTCTACGAGCCTCTGGCTCCTGTCCAGGGTAAGAAAGACCTCTGATCATACATATTCATGGGAAATGACACAATGGTGCTGTAGCACCTTTCATCTCTGCCCAATTTCCTACTTGCTCTCTGCCGTTTTCCAAGAGAAGCCAGGTGGCAAAGGGTAAATAAAACAATTCCACTTTTGCCAAAATGCTTCAGTGAGCCATAATATTGTGGAATATAGCTTTTGTCTTGTCTTCTCTCATTTTCTTGCAGAAACTATAGTGTGTGTGATTTGAAAAGTCATTTTACAGCCTTCATTACCTGGTCTGGGCGAAGAGGAGGCTCAGCCTGGGAGTGCCTGATTGTCTCCACGCTTTGCCTTTGAAACTGCTGAGTAGGCTCCATCCCAGAATAGTTGTCAAGCACATTTGTGTTGCTTATCACATCATGTGTCACTTCTGTTATCACAGAGATTGCCCAGGCATCAGATGTGCTGGTCATCACTGCAGCACCTCTGCTGTGACAGGCAGGATAACGGGACAGAGACGTGGCTGTGTCTCTTCACACGGAGTTTTCAGGCAGCATTTTCAACCCAGCACCAGAGTTCAGTTCAACCACAACAATGTGCAGGCCACAAACATTTCATTAATTTGCCAGAAAAGCAACAGAGAAGGATTTGGCAGTTTCTCTGAAAACAAATGTAAATTCATTCCAAAGGTGAATTAGAAAAGATGACATAGTTTGTGGATGGGCTTATTAATATTTTTATATTCCTGGTAGATTGCCAATAGTTCAATAGGATGTCCAGCTTTGGCAGCATGACAGCAGGGAGAGTAATTTCAGCCATTGCCAATCCATTTTAAACTCTTTTCCAAAGAAATAAGGATATCAATCACTTGTATTTGCTTCTCCTGTAAGGAATAATGATCTATATTGCCTGAATATCCATGTCTCATGCACAGAGAAAGTTAAACTCAGGATTGAAAACACCAGAATAAAAGCACTGTCAGCCTTTATGGCTGGCAGGTCTGAGCACAAAGAGCTAATACAGGAAGCATTTCTAATTCTGACCAAGAAATGTGCACAGGGTATGCAGGAGGTTCAGGCTGGTTGGGCGTTTCTTCCCTTTTCTTCATTCCTACAAAATGTTCAAGAATAGATTTTTCCCCCCTAAAAATATGGAAGTGTCAGATCATGTTTTCTCTGCATGTATTTGACTTAACATCCTTCAGAACCTTTGTTGCCTTTTCCTCTCTTCCCCACCTCTGCCTGTGCTGCCCCTGACTCCAGCTTGTCTCTCCTTCCCCTCTGGAGGATTTCTGATGTGATCAGGAAGGTTATGGAGGGCTCTTCCTCAGATGCAAAATATTTGCCTAAATTTATTTTCCAGTCTTTGGCCACCATTTGCTCTCGTGCCAACATTTTTCTTTCAGCAAAGAAAATTTCTTTCAAATTGTTGTTGTTTAATTTCTTTCCTGCCATGAAAAAGAATCCCTTCCTTGATGCCATCATTTTCACAGATTCGCAAATATTCCAAGTTGGGAGGGACCCACATGGATCATCAAGTCCAGCTGAAGTAAATAGCTGAACTCAAATTCCTCCATATGAGCACTGCAGACACCCACCTGGATGGGCTGGACCTTCTTTTGGCGCTTTTCTCATTCATATTTTAACTTTCCACCAGCTGAGGATCCTCCCATGGTGGCATCTTTTGCCTTCCCACTCACCAGCCACCCCTCACCTGCCCATTTTTCCAAGTTTTCCAGCAGCAATCTGTTCTTTAGCACAGTCTTATCCCTGCTTGACCTTTTATTGTTTAAGCTTTACACTGTTATGTTTTACACAATAATAGACAACAAGATTGCCCCAGAGCCTTTTTCAACAGTTTTTTGGTTTGTTTTATTTTTTTTTCCTTTTTGGAACACAGCTTGAAAATGACAAATGCCTCCTGATTTGTCTCAGAGAAATGAAATAGTTCACCTGTGGAAGGAGGGAGCACTTTTACTGCATCCTTGTTAGCCAAGGAAAGATTCCCTGAGTTATAAATTGTATTTCGAAGAAAACTTTGAACAGAAATTGCTTGGACATTACTCTTTATTTAAGTGATTAAAACTGAAAGTATCATCTTGCATTTGCATAAAATGAGCATCTGGATTGAAAACCTCTTCCTTCTGCATTTTTTAGAAAGATAAATTAGCAAGCAGCCATTTCTAGCAGGAAAAATCTTTTTTTACTTCCTATGCTACCTTCTTGGTTTGAAATGTGTCATGTACATATACAGACCCAAAAAAATCACCAGAAAGACTCTCTAAATTTGAAATTTTTATTATAAAATCTTTTATAAATCACATCCTTTCCGTTGAATTGCTTCTGGAAAATTTCAGTGAAAGCCAGATTTTTTTGTTATCAAGCCAGTCATTCCCCCTCTGTCCTTTGTGCAGCATTAAGAACCTAAAGGTGAAACTAGCTATGAACCTTGGTGAAGGGAACAACTCTGATTTTCACTGATCCCTAAGAAAAATTCTGTGAGAGTGAGAAGAATGAAACACAAGTCACAGCTCCAGCCTTGTTTAAGCTCTCAGTGCTTTGGTTGCATCCCCTGTTGCCATGGCATTTGGAGCCCCAAGGTCCTGGTGAGCTGCACATCCTTCACTGTGCATCCACATGGGGATGGTGGGTACGGCAGGATGAGATGAATGGGACACACCTGGCCCTTGTTCCTCCTCCAGACCATGCTGGAGGTTATTTGGGGAAGCAGCAACAGAGAAATGCTTGCCTGGGAAGCAATCTGGAATGTGCACTCCTCTTCGTTTACCTCCTCCTTTTTTTCCCAGAATAATTACTGAGGTTACATGTAGTCTCTTGGTAATTTCCCAGATGTGTTGTAAGGTTTTTTCCTTGTCAGTACCCACTTATCAAGCTTAAACTCTAATTATACTTATCAGTGCTGAAAATTGCCTATTATCACTACTTAAACTCTCGCTAATTGTAAGAAATACTTTCTTAGCAAACTGTTAGATGATTTTACTTACCATCTAGATGTAATAAGCTCCACTTGATTTCTATTTTTTCATTGAAACTCCCTCTTATTTTTTTACCTGTGTGGCTGCTCCAGGGGTGAGCAAGGTGGTGACAGTGGACATCAAGGGGAACTGGCAGCGCTGGCTGAAGGTGCGGGATCTCACCAAGGGCGTCACCTATTTATTCCGAGTGCAAGCCCGAACCATCGCCTATGGACCTGAGCTGCAAGCCAACATCACAGCTGGGCCAGCAGAAGGTGAGGGGGAGGGGGCTATAAAAACAAATCACAAGTCACAGATCACTTCTACAAACACAGGGCACCAGCAGGGAATGGTGCACTCAGACCTTCACGTGAATTTGCAGTTCCAAGGAGAAGCTGAGTCACGGGACGTGATTCAGTGCATTTCACAACTGCCATGAAAAACATGTTTCCTTTTTTCCTGGAACCTAGAAGTTTCATGTGAATAAACAAAACCCTGTAAATAAATCATAATGCAAACAGGCCAGCCAGGGATTTCCAAGCTGCAGTCTGACAGCACAGTGCATAATTTTGACTGAACTGCTCTGTAGTGGGAGGCAGAGCTGGAGTAGCTGCTGAAACCAGCAGAGGTTCCTGGATGCAAAACCAGAAAGAATTGACAATTGTTCTCTCCTGACACGTTGGCTTATGCAGAGGGAGAGATCTGTGGATTTCCTGCTGTGTCAAGAGCAGCTGCAGGGCAGCACTCCCTGCCTGGTTCGGTGCCTGTACCCAGAGCTGGTTTTCTTATTTGATCAGTGACTTTGATAAACAGGTAATCCAACAAGGTAAATGCCCTCCAATGATACCAGCCTGTCAGATAAGTCACAGAGCATCAGTGCAGTGGCCACAGCTCTGTTTGTTTCTCACTTCCAGTCTGGTGAACTCTCACACCACACCACAGATCAGATTCCTGTAGATCAGGAATCCTTTCTAATGTGGCCATGGCATCTTCCCAAGCCAGTGGGCAGTGCCTGTCCCCATGAATCTCTCCATGAACCTCACAGGCTGGTTTCACCTCTAGAATGAGAACTAGCAGCAGCAATGGGTAAAATGAGAGTCCTTTTTCTCTTACCTTCTTAACACAGAAGGTGTAACCCCCCCTTATTCTTGGGGTTAATCCCTATAGAGCTGCTTTGATGATCCTAGTGGGCCCCTTCCAACTCAGAATATTCTATGACCCTATGACCTGTAAACCCCATTGAAATGTAATTGCTGGTACTGGAGCTAGTGAAAAAATCAGGCCAGTAGCCCATAGAGCTGGTTTATGTTGCATATTTGTTGACCAACACTGCAAGATAATTTTTTCCCTCTCTCAGCAGAAGCAATTCATGCTGCAGTTTAATGCCACCTTCATTTGCTGCTCTCTTTTCCTCCTTCAGGGTCTCCTGGCTCCCCTCAGGAAATCCTGGTGACAAAATCGTCTTCTGGGCTGACACTGCAATGGACTGAGGGAGATTCAGGAGAAAAACCCACAACTGGCTACATTATAGAGGCACGACCCTCAGGTGAGCCCCAGGAAATGCAGGGGTTTGATGTCATCAGTTCCCTTCCTCCAGCCCCTGCTGAAGGGGAGAGGTTGTTTGTCATCCCAGTAAGGGAATGGGATTTTGTGAGAGGATGTGTTTCCAGCCAGTATTAAGATGTTACTGGTTTATTATGTAGTTTAGCATATTTTCTCCTCTTTAGGAGTAGTCACAGAAAATTACCCCGACTGCTCTAGCTTTCACTGTGCTACATCACTGGAAAATCATCCAACAGATGAACTAATATAGTTAATAATTGAAACTCATTTAAATGCTTACAGCATCTTTCAGGAGCAAGGACTAATAAGTATTTGCGAGCTGTATTTTGAGGACCACAGATAGAAATCAGTCTCCTTCTGCAGCAGAGCACAGCAGCTAATTACTGTTTTAATGTTAATAATAGGGCCAGGGCTTCAGCAGCACATACACATTTCTTCCCCCATTTGTTCTGCAGGGAGAGCAGTGAGGCAGGGGGAAGGAATCCCCCATCACCACAGTTTTTCTTGGTGTTTTCGCAGAGCTCCTTTGCTTCTGGGATTTGCATCTCAGTGAAGCTGTTCTTTGCTTTTTTCCAGAATGTTCCCCCACTTGGACAAGGCAATTTTAAAAGTCAGTGTGTGCTCCAGCCTGAGCGCAGCTTGGTCCCCCTTGCAAATTCAAAAAGCACAGATTTCCTGGGAACTAATTCATTAAGGAAAGGCAGTGAGTGCTGCCAGGCCTCTGTGTAATCTCCCTTGATAACTTCCCTCCACTCTGACTGGGAATGTTGATAACCACTCTCTGGGTACAGTTTCCAGCTGGTGGTACCTCCACCAGCTCCTTGTTCCATGCAGGCCGTGTTTGAATGTCACCAAGTCAAAAGCTTTGCTGAAGTCAGGATATATGATGTCTGCTCTTTCTCCTCTATTGACAAGGTCTGCTACTCTGTCACAGAACAAAATTAGACATGATCTATGCTTGACATAACCAACTTGGCTGCTGGGTCTTCCTTTTTCACTTCTAGGTGCTTGCATATTGCTTGATTATATATTGATTAAATCAACGCTTATCTGTTTGATTATATAGAAGCTTGTTTGTGTCTTGAATGTGAGGTTGCATTTAAAACCAGTGATTTTAATTACATTTAACCAGACCAGTAAGAAAATTATAGAGGTCATCTCTGAAGATGCAGATTTTTGTACCTGCAGCTGATAAAATTTGCTCTGTAGTGAGGCTCTTCTCTGATCCTAAAAATTCTTTTTTATTTCTGTCATTTAACTTGGCAATTGCCTTCAAAATAAAAGCAAAGGAAATACATACCTTCTCAAAGCACTGGGGCTTCCCAGAGTGATCAAGTTTGCTTTCAGTTAGAGGCATGACACTGCTGTGCTTCTATTTCACCTACATCAGCTTTTTGAGTTCTGTGCTTATTTCATCAGAGGTAGAAAATATTTTCTTATTTGAACAGCATTGTTAGCAAGTTAAACCAAACCTGTTCATTTCAAATCACTCACCAGTTTACATTTCCCCCAGCCAGGTTTTCTGTGAGTCAGAGTATTTCAGGGGAGACCTGCAGCCCATGTACAGATTGTCTGCATTGGAAATCCAGCCCGTGCGAGTGGTGACATTGGGAGCTCATCCCCTCAACTCCCCGTTGGATGTGCACAAACATTTCACAGCTCATGGCTGTAGGATTTGGGGCCCGCTCCTTTTGAGTAGGAAGAAAATAGTCCCTCCAAGGCAGGTCTGAGCTGCATTAACCCTGGGTCACTTCTGCTGGCCCCACTCCACTGATCCTGGAAATGCACACAAGAGGTCTTATTCTCCCGCTCTTGCAACCTGACTGTTGAGGCATTTAATTCCTCTTCAGATTATTTTAATCCTATTCATGCTGCTGTAGCAAATGAACTAGGCATTTGTATGCTGGATTCTCATCCTTGGTTCTGGTTGCAGCTGTAGGAAGCGTGAAATGTGATCCAGGAGAGGAGACAGACTAATTGGAAGATTTGCTTATTCCACCCAAGCCTCGGCTTCCTCTCTGTGCTGCTTTTCTTCCTCATCTCTGCACACAAGAGTCTGAAATCTGAATTACGAGCTTAACAAAAGCAGGGAGCTAATTCTTCCTCTCAGGGCTGGTCATTCAGAGCAGCTCCTGCTTTACTATCATTGTAAGAAATTGCTTTTGCATGTTAATTTATACAGGCAGTAAAGTGCGGATTGGAGCAACCTTTGTTTTTAAGGAGGAGTTGTTCCAAGAGAAGAGCAGTTGACTTGTGCTCTTCACATAAAATGAAGAAAGGAAAAGATATTTATCCTTCTGAGGTCAAAAAAGGGGGCGTTGAGCAGACAGATGAAAAGCTTTAGCTTGTTGCCAATATTTAAATGCAATACCACTACCTTAGTGTTTCACATCTCAAGTGTCATCTGTTATAGGCCTCATTACCCCAAACGTTAAATGCTGTATCATCTCATTTTCCCTGCTGTAGCTCCCTGCCAAGACTCTTCCATCAGAGTAGGAGGATGGCTTTCTGTCAGAAATGGCAAACCCTACTCCTTTTTGTCACTTCCCTTTGAATTTTTCGGAGCCCTGCTGTGTCTCCCAGGGCTCCTCTGCCCTGCTGGGTTTAGCAATGGTGGCAGCAGGCAGCTGAGACTGCTCATTTGATTTCCCTGTTCTCTGCTGGCTTTATGGAAGGTGACCAGGCTCAGTACCTCCTCTGCATTTTGAGTACACCCACACACAGGGATGAAGCAGGCAAGCCAATATTTTTTTCTGAGTGATCTGTGCTAGAGGAAGACATTACAGAAACAGAAAAGTTTTTCTTTTCCTTCAACTTCTCTGTCCTTAGAGAAATGGATTCCAGTTTAGCTCCCTGTGCATTACAAGAAATGCAATTAAGCAGGCTCTGTCTCTGCCACTGTAAGTGCTCCCCAGACATCAGCTGGGCTGCCTGAGGAATGGGGAATAGATTGTGCCCTCAGCTTTTATATACAGAGCAAAAGACAAATGGCACAGTGATGTTAAGGAGAAGCTGGCTTCACCCCTCTTTCCCAGCTCCAGGTCCCACCCAAAGGTTCCTGTCACTGTGCTTTAGTGTTGGGCATGTGGCCTGTGCATTCCCAGCAGCCTCACCCAGAGCTGCCTTCCCAGTGACCCCCGTCTGCAAGGGAGGTGTTTGTGAAACACCCTGGGCATCCACAGGCCAGGAGTGCCCCTGGATGTGGAGCTGCCCCATGAGACATCCATCCCTAGAGCAGCTGTGTAGGTGTTGGATCCATCTGCCCCACAGAACCATTTAGATTGGAAAAGACCCTTAAGGTCATCAAGTCCAACCATAAACCAAACTCTGCCACATCCCCCACTAAACCACATCCATAAGTGACACATCATCCTGGCTTCTGTCACCTCAGAAAGAGCCTCCCTGACCCAGGACAAGTAGAGGGAGATTTCTTTTTCTGCTTCTTCTCCCCACCACAATTTTGGGCTTTGTGTGCTTTTGCCAAGCAGTGGATGATGTCAGGCAACTGGGAGGAAATTGCATCTAAATGGAATGGTCTGAATTGGAAGACACCTTAAAGATCAGCCAGTTCCATCCCCCTGGGATGGGCAGGGACACTTGCTATTAGACCTGGTTGCTCCAAGCACCATCCAACCTGGCCTTGGACACTTTCAGGGGATGGGGAAGCCACAGCTTCTCTGGACAGCCTGTACCAGGGCCTCCCGACCCTCACAGGGAGGAATTTCTCCCTGATATCCCATCTATCCCTGCCCTCTGGCAGTTTGAAGCCATTCCCACTTGTCCTGTCACTCCATGCCCTTGTAAAAAGTCTCTCTCCAGCTTTCAAGATGATGAGTTCCAAGAAGGCAACAGACATTTAGGGAAGGAACACATCTACTTGGAGCGGGAATTGTCTACCTCATAAATGCTGGGCTCTGCTTCCCACGCCCCGAGGGCAGCTCTCACTTTAGTTTCCTTTCTGGTGTCTTGAGTAGTGTTTTTCTGTTTTCTTCCTTTTCTATTTATTTTTAACCAAATGAGGGAGCGCGGTGTCAGACATGGACAGGAACCAGCAGAAGTCAGTAAATTCAAAGTGAAGGGTGCAGCTGCATCCCCGGCATCTGCCATGGGGCCTTTTTCGCTTCTGCTGCCGAGCGACACACTGGGGCTGACAGTTTGTCAGCCTTCACTTCCCATTCTTGTCCTTCCACTGCTTTGCATGATAATCCAGCCCTTTGCCTCTGACAAACACACAGCCACGTTTTAATTGTGTCCTCTGTAGGAGGATCACCAGTGGCTTTCAGCTGGGCCTTAACTCTCAGCAGCTTCTCCCCTCATAAACCTTCTAATGTGTAATTAGGAGGGAGCTTTATGGCCCAGCTCTCCTGCTCTGAGAGGGGTTGGCTGGTGTTTAAAATAACTGACAGCTCTCCATGTCTTGGGTTGTCAGGGGCTGGATTTAGTGGAGCTGGGAGCCTCCCTTGCTGAGTGACAGCTTTATTTAGCGTGGAGACCCTGATTAATGGCCTGTGATGCCGGGCTGGCCCACGAGAGCAGAGCAGCTCCTCTCCAATGTGGGTTGGACACGGCATTGGGGCAGAGGTGGCTTCGCCTTCCCCTGTCTCTCAGATGCTCTCCCCGTGCCTGAACTTTAAGCTCAGATGGGACAGAGGCATCGAGGCTGGGAGGTGAAGAGCAAATCTCCCATCAGGAGTTAGGATGGGTCAGGGCTGGGGAAAACTGACAGAAACAAGGAGCAAAGAATTTCCTGTTTGAGGAGTACTTGCTTTTGCATCACATGTTTAAGAAGCTGAGTGCCCAGTGAAAGGCCGTGGGGAGTGAAGATGGGGACTGATGTGACTGAAAAGAAAAAGCAAAGCAGCCTCCCTGGGGATGTCCCTCTGAGCCCTGCACCTGAGCCCTGCTTAGTGTTGCAAATTTGCTCTTCTCTGTGGTTTCTAAGAGTTAATACCCAGCTGATGTCCCAGCCATGGCATGGGCACCTTTCCTCCCTAGACTGAGCAGAAAATGCTGTGTATGGTGCACTAATGATCTTCCACTGAACTGAAAGGCCAGCCTTTGCTATCACAGGTGACCTTCTAATGAATTCTCTTTCAGTTGAGCTTCTAACATTTAGAGCATACCTGGTTTTGAGGATGGAGGGAGAGGTGCACTGAAGGAATTCACAAGTGTGTGTTCAATATTTAATTTCAAAGTTGACTACTGGAATAAAGGGATTTTTTAGTTTGGGTATATCTGATTGTGATCATTGTTTAGAAAGAGGGGTCTGGATGTTTCAGATGGATATAAGATAAATTAATTGAGGCTCTGGAATTAAAAATCTTGCTGGCCAGGGCTAGGGAAGCCACAGGCTATGCTGTGCTTAGGGTCAGCAGTAGGGAAGATGTAGGACATCTGTCCAATTTAGCTGCATCAGCACCTCTCTGGAACCCAGGGATAATGAGCTGGGTCCCATTTTAGAATCATTAAGGTTGGAAAAGAAAGACCTTCAGGATCATTGAGTCCAACCATTAACTCAGCACTGACAGACCTACCCCAAGGAAAAAACAAAGTTTTGACAAAGATTCTTTCAGGGAATGAAAGGGAGATGGGCCAGTGACTCCGTGGCCACCAGCCAGAGCATCTCTGAGTCCCTGTGAGACAGAAATGCCTCTGAAGAAACATCCACCAGCATCCTTTGCTGCCCCACACCATCGCCACCATGGCCAAGGGGACTGAGAGGAGGAAATGCAATGCTGACCTCTCAGGGGTGGTTTTCCCAACTTACTGCAAGCTTCACAAAGCACTTAAATATACACTTCTTGGTCTGTTGGGTTTTCTGCACTGTGCACCCTGATAGGTTTGAGAAAATGAGTGAGAAAGTGTATGTCTGAACAGTTGTGTTTGTTGTAATGAGTGCTGAACATTCACTTTTATTGTTGCTTTTTCTTCCCCTATTTAAGTGGCTTTGAATGCAAACAAATTGCTTTTCAGACAATTCACAATGGGCTCAAATTCTCTTATTGCTGTTTACAAATGTGTTTATGAAAGCTTAGGCAATTCTAGCAAATATGGCAATATTTTATAGTCGTGAGATGCATCTTCTGAGTATTGGTGGCTGCAACAATCCAACTTTGAAAATGCATCCCTCACTCCACCCTCTTCAGAGAAACTAAATCCCAAACTCCTGGTTTTATTACATTGTAACTTTATGTGGTAAAATAATCTCAGCTTCTATTGCCCTGTAAAAGGGAAGTCAATATTTTATCTCTTGTTTTACAGCCATTGTAATACCCAGCTAATACATAACAATGGTACATTATGATAACTTCATTATAGTCTGATCATGCTGGTGAATAATGTATTGGTCCGAGTTTTAAGCGTGGCAGGAAAATTACCTATTTTTATTGTTCTTTGGTGTTTCTCAAATGCAGCTGGAACAATAACAATGCAGCCTGCTTTTTGCATCTGCTGAGACTGCCAATCCTCCTGACCAGCAAAGCTGTAGTTTGGGGCTGTTACTCATTGTGTGTGTCACCAGACGTGCAGCGCGGTGCAAATCACTCAGCCAATATTTACTGGTGCCAAAGCTAAAACATTCACATGGAAATGCACCTGCAGTGTTAATCAATCCATCTTTGCTGCTATTCCCTGTGGCACAGGAGCAGGCTGAGGGCCAGATCTTGCTCTGTTACACCAGCACAATTCTGGAATCGCTGCAGTGACTCCAATTAGGTTACACTCAGGTAAAGGCAAAGCAAATGAGAACAGATTCCTGCCTCACACTGCAGCAGCAGAACGAGTCACAGAGGGTAACAGTGCTGGCTCCTGCTTTATTGTTACCTTGATAACACCTCGAGCCACAGAAGTCCTGCTGCTGCCGAGCCACGCAGTGCAGGCTGTCTTTCAAAGCAGGCAGCTCCCACACTGAAGTCCTGTGGTGGAGAGGTTGTCATCCTATTCCCACTGCTGTGGGACATGGAGAGCAAAATAGGTATTGTTGAAACAGCTTTGATAGCTAAAAGTAAAAGCCCAATGGGATGCTTGTGAGGTCAGGTCTGTGAGAGCTGCGCTGAGTAGGAGAGCTGAGGGTTTGGCCCCATGTGTAGACAGAGACTCCATTTTCTCAGCAGAAATGCTGGGCACCACTTTTTACTGGGAAGTTAATCAGTCATAATAATGTTTGATTCCTGCCCTCAAAATTTCTGAGTGGTATTTTAAATTATAGTTGGTTTTGTTGCTGCTGGTACCAGCATCCATCTCGTTGAAAGTTTTGTAGTCAAACAATGTAGTCAAGTGAATGTGAGGTTACAGGTGTGGATCAGGGATGGGAATGGTGCCTGGTCAGGATGTGAATCAGGATTAATGCCATTATGGCTGTGGAGAGCCAAGATTACCCTAATGAAATGTTCCCATCAGAATGGCATTGTGCTTCTAACAATTTCAACAGCTTTATAAAAATAAACAAAACTGATTTCTGTTTAAAACTGCAGAGCACAGAGTGCAGCACCAGCTCTGTGCCATGCAAAGGACTCATCACTGTTGCTGTCATGGAGCAAGCAGCACTCCAGTGACACCAGTCCCCCGGCACCACAGAGCCTCCCAGGACTTACATTAGTCTAAGCCTCACTTGAGTGCTTCAACAACAAAGCAAATTTTGCAGTGTAAAAGGCAAGCAGAACCTTTGTGATCAGGACTCAATAATGTTGCCTTTGGTTTACGTGATCTCTCAAATGCCAGATGTGCTGATGGGTGACCTAACCCAGTCAGGAGGGAGTGGCAGCTGCTCCAGCCAGCTCAGGTCTCTGTGGGTACTGCTGCTGATTTTAGACACCCCTTCCATCTGGGCTATGAAAAGCTCCCATCCTGAATTAATGCATTCACAGATGGGGCTTGCAGGCATTCCGATATTTGTGCGTACCACAGGGCAGCCTCCAGGTGAGCGTGTCCCTGCCTGTGGCTCCAGCACAGCATTGGTGACATTGGTGACAACCTCTCTGACAGAGCAGGTGGGAGTGCCAGGGCACACAGCTGATGCCATTTCTCTCCTTGCCGCTCTCCTAGACGAAGGACTCTGGGATATGTTTGTGAAGGACATCCCTCGCAGCGCCACCTCCTACACTGTGGGCCTGGACAAGCTCAGACAAGGAGTCACCTATGAATTCCGGGTGGTGGCTGTCAACGAGTTTGGCTATGGAGAGCCAAGTGTTCCTTCTGTGGCAGTCTCAGGTAATCATGGATGTATTTTAAAAGTCTTTTTCACTGGAGTTTCCTGAGGCTGAGGGAGAAGAGGAAAAAAAGAAACAAATCAGACTCTCTAGTTGCAGCAAATAATCAAGGGCAGCTTGTTTTAGGATAAAACTGGAGTAATACAGTGGTGAATTAAGGTCTGAAATTACAGTATGTTTGATTCTCAAGAAGAAAAATGTGCATGTGCCATTTTGAAGCTTGATAAAGAACTACTCAGACTGTTTATGTCAGATCTCTTGTCATAAGACTAATTTGTAGAGTCTGCAATTTGTTTGCTTTTTCTCCATTCTCAGTCTCTTTTTTGTTTGCTCTGCTTTCTTTTTTTTTTTTTTTTTTGTTTTTTTACTCTGGACTCTGGTAAACATGTTCTGTTACTTTGTCTTTAGCTCTCACAAATACAGAAGTGTAGCTTCACATTATTCCTGACAATCCTTTGTGCTGGCAGTCCTGCTCCAGTGTGATGCCTCCAGTCCCCCTCCACCAGAACAGCTCATTTGTGATGCTCTGGGGCTCTTCCCACTCTCGCTGCTCTCTGTGCTTACTCCCAGTTACAGGGCCATGACCTAAACACGCTTCCCAAATCTTTGTGAGCAGCCCAGCCCTCTGGTTTTCTGAAAGGGGTTGAATACCTTGAAAATCAAATTCCTCTCGGCTTGCCTGGGCTGGGCAGCTGGAGTGCCTTGGCCTGTGGTGAGGTGAGAGACCTTGCCCTTGGGAGGGCTTTGCTGGGTCTCCTCTTCCCCTGCTCTACTCCAGGTTGCTTTTGAGCCATCGGTTTCATCCTTTCTGTGTCAGCAAAGACAAGGGGAATAAAAGAACCTGATAAAGTGGCTTTGTGATTCAAAATTCTGGAGAGTCCTGAGAACCTGGCAGTGCTCCAGTATCTGGAGTGGCTTTTATCTCTTTGCTGCTCCAGTGAAAGGCATGAACACCATTCAACAACTCCCCAGCAGGCAGGAGAAGCAAGTGCTGCTCTCGCCATGGCGGCTGCTGCGCTTGTCCCGACACAATTAACCACTTACCCCAGGAGAGCTTCCATGGATTTCATGTGAGCGCTACCCCTGCTTTTCTTCTGCAGGACAAGGGTATGGACAACCCACTTCAAACACTAAGAGTCAGTGTTTTTGCTGTCTGGGGTTTCAGAGAGGCTGTAACACAGTGTAAAGGACCAGCAATCATGTCAGTCTTTCCTTTGCTCGAAGACATTATTCCTCTGAAGCAGGGCATGCGTCTCCTTGTGATGCTTTCTATAAATAAACTGCTTGTTTGTAAGTTCTCCACTTGAACAGAACTATTTAATTCGCCTCCTTTTGATGCTTCAGTGTTCCTCTCAAATTGCTGCATGAAAGTAAGAGGCTTCCATTGAGATTCACAGTCATAAAAGTATAAAGCATTTTAGGCTGGCCACTTCAGCTGGTACAGGGAGGTATAAATTGCCCTGAATCTGCTCATCCCAGCATGGCTTGTGCAGTTTGTCTCTAGGATTTTATTGGCCTGGACTGGCCTCCTAGCAAAGAAGGAGCATGGCTGTTTTTCCCTGCTGCAGAATACCCAGTGATCTGGAACAAATTTGAGCTCATATCGTTGGGCTTAAAACAGATTTTTATTCAGATCCAGGCTTGGGACAGTCAGGGAAAGAGGGAAGGATGGTTGAGTGGTTCTCCTGGCATCACCCATTCCTGCCAGGTGGTGTTCCACCTTAAGGACTACAGGGAAAGTATGTCAACTGCTGGCTCGTGCTCAGAGGCTGCACTTCTCCCCAAAGCTGAGGGAGCTCAGGGGAGGACAAAGAGAATATCACTGCAGGAAAACAACAATACCTATTACTTTAAACCAAGACTGGCGAGGTAACTCCAGAAAGGGGAAGTTAGTGTCATTTTGTGTTTCCACTTGAGGTCAAGTGGGGTGAAATTACCTGAGACTGCACAAAATCCAGGCAATTGAATTGATATCCCTGTGCTGCACATCAGGCTTGGCTCAGTGGATGGAGAAGTGATATAGAGTAGCAGTGAATGTTGGAAGTTGGAGTTAATGGAGGTACTGAAAGATGCTGAACCAAGTGTGCTTTGTTCCCTGGCACTAGCTGTATTTTTCAAAGAGCCACTGAGCAGCATTTTGGCAAGGTAAGCCTCCCAAAAAGTGGAATAATCATGGGTCATGGCACGTGTGTTAGTGGTTCCCTTGACCCAGGAGTGCTAAACCTGCCATGGTCAATAAATGTAGGTGTGCAGAGCTGTGGGAAGAAACCTGCCTCTCCTCTCCTGGTGATAACTTAGCTAAGGGCCTCTGGAGCTGCTCCAGGGGTATGAAAGGTGCTTGTAGAGAGGGAATTGGTTGTAGAGAAGCTGTGGCTGCCGCATCCCTGGAAGTGTCCAAGGCCAGGTTGGACAGGGCTTGGAGCAACCTGGGGTAGTGGAAGGTGTCCCTGCCATGGGAGTGAGAGAGTGGCACTGGATGAGCTTTAAGATCCCTTCCAACCCAAGCCATCCTGGGATTCTGGTTTGGAGCTGTGATATGCTCCTGTTCTCTGCCATCTCAGAAGGGTCAGCAAGCCCCTTGAGAGTCTGAACCCCCTCCTCTCCAGAGCACCATTGTGGAGTCATTGTTCCCTGTGGGGAACAAGAGAAATTTTTAAAGGGGCATAAAGAGGAACTGTTATTTGTTTTTTGCTCTTTCAGCACAAACAGAAGCCCCTTTCTATGAGGAGTGGTGGTTTCTGCTGGTGATGGCTCTCTCAAGCCTCATCCTCATCCTGCTGGTGGTGTTTGCATTGGTCCTGCACGGCCAGAGCAAGAAGTACAAGAACTGCAATGGAGGTAAGGCACCATCTCTGTGCTGTGCAAAAGTCTCAAAAGCTGTGGGAATCAGAGATGCCTTTCCTTTGAACCTCTGATTTCCTCAGCAGGGACTGTGTTAGAGCTGTTTTGCTTGGCAGAAGACTTGGAACTTTTTGCTGTCTGGTTTGGTAGAAATGGCTTTTGCCCCCAGCCCCACTGGATCAGGGTTTGGACACTGACCAGCTCAGACAGGACAGACTCTGGAGGTCCCAGGGACTGCAGTAAAAGCCAAGGAGTCTGGGTCAAACACTTGGGAGATAAGGAATAAATAAGGAATTAGCTGAGCCTTTGTTTAACTTTGGCATAAATCCCTGATAGACGGGGAGAAGGAGAAAGATTCTGCTTTTCCATGGCTGTACCAGTGCAGATATTCTAAACCTCTGGGCGTGAGGGCTATACAACTGTTCCTTTATATTGAGTGCCCTGCATCTCACATTCCTTCCCTAAGTCAAGCTGCAGTTGCTGGGCTGGGGGCCAAGCAGCCAGGAGGTGTCTTGGTTATCTGGACCTGTTAGATTTTAACATATAGTGAGAACCAAGCTTTGAATTTTCCTTTAGTGATGATTTTTACCAGTCTCCTTTCTTGAAAGGAAACAGGAGTTACCTTCTCTGTAACTTGGAATGTCAAATAGTCCCCTTTGAAAAAAGCCTCATTCTTGAGCTCTGAATATTGTTTTTACCTTTTCTTCTCTCTACATAATAAAGTCCTGGAAGGGTTGTTCACGTGTATTTCTCTGATAGCCTCCTCCACCTGCAGCAGGAAATTCTCTGATGCCAGGAGGTGCCAGAAAAGGTACATTAATGAAAAGGATCAGGTGGATGGGTCTCTGCACTACCTGTTCTTAGGGATTAATGTAATGAAGTCTTCCAGGCAGTATTTAGTAATTCAGTCCCAAAGTGAAGATCTTCTCTTTCTTTGTAATTCACTTCTAACAAATGTTAGAAATCAGATTTCAGTCCCATGAGATAGAAGATGTATGAGTACCGTGGCATTTTACCAAGTTAATACTATTATATATTTGTATGCACAGCCCATAGGAAATCTCTCATCTTCTTAGTTTCACTGTGTTTGGGGGACAGACATGAAAAGGCAGGTCTGACCTGTGCTGTCAGATATCCGTGTTCACAGCGCCTTAATGCAGCTCTGAAATTGAAGCTGAGGATAAAGCACCTGTCTGCTGCAAAGTGGCAGCCAGCCCTTCTCCCTGGGACACGGGCTCAGCTCACACCTTTGGGATGACAAAGGATGAGCAGAGCACAGAACAAGCTCCTGCTAGATTTGATCACAAGAAATAATATACTGGGCTGTATGCTCCTTCTTCTTCCCATCCTGTCCCAGTTCCTGCCTTACATTGTCTGGTGATTTCTCCCTGCCTGATTCCCATTTCAGCTGTGGCATGCTTTTCCCATTTGCTACCCACTTGCCCTTCCTCTTGCTTTTTTTCCTGCCTTTTTTCTCTCTCCTTTTCCTCTTTTTCTAGTTTTACTTTCCCTTGCTTTACTCCAATCAACGTGGAATGGGATTCACAGCACCTGATTAAGGACATCTTTAGTAGCCACGTAAATTAGTTATCAGGTTTCTATTTATAGTCAAAAATCAAGAATAAGCATTTTTGAAGCACAGTTTATCTGTGCTATTTTAAATACTTCTCTCTGAATGAAATCCATCCATCCATCCATCCATGACTCCTTTCTCCTCTTTTGACTTCCTCTGCCTCTTCACTTTCCTGATACTCTCCTTGCCTTCACTCTGTTCTCACTTGCTAGGAGAAAAAATAAAGAGAATTTCAAATAATTAATGATGTCATAAAACAGAAAGAAGGACGAGTAAGCTCCTGCAGTTCTATTTGGGGGAAAAGTGTTTTTGTTTCAACTGAACCTTTCATTTCTTGGCTCCAGGTAAAACCATCTCCAATGTGGAAGAGTCAGTCACCCTGGACAACGGAGGCTTCACTGCTCTGGAGCTCAACAGCAGACACCTGAACATCAAGAGCACCTTCTCAAAGAAGAATGGAACCAGGTAAAAAGCTGGGAATGCTGTGCTTTTGCAATGTCTTTTTTCTAGCTTCAAGCACTGTTAAGGACTCAAAAGGGAGAGACTGAAGAATCCAGGGAGGACTTAAACACCCAAGTCTCTGCCTCAAGCTGTGATTCTGGCTTCTAAGCATGATTTCATTAACTCCAGGGGAATAACAACATCCCAATCACTCATCCTTTGCATTTCCTAGGTCTCCTCCTCGGCCAAGCCCAGGGGGGCTGCACTACTCTGATGAGGATATCTGCAACAAGTACAACGGGGCTGTGCTGACCGAGGGCTTGGGCCTCAATGAGAAGCCCCTGGAGGTGTCAGAGTCAGAGGTAAGGATTTCCCTCTGCCTCACATTGCACAGACACCACAGAGAATCATTTCCATGCTGAATCCTGGCAAGTCTTTGAAGTCCCAGTCCCATATCTGCATCATGCTGTGTGGTCACTGTCTGTCTCAGGGATTTTAAAAGGTTCAATTCACCAGGCTGTTTGCATCACATCTTAAAATAAAAATATCAAAGGGAAGAATGACAAGCAGGACCCAGCCAGGGCAGATTCCAGACCTGGCCTTGGCAGATATTCAGTTTTCCAGAGTCAGGTGGAAAGATAAGTGCAATCAGTCAGACAGGGAGTGCTGACCTCTGTCAGGGATCATCTGCACATCCCTTTCTGCCTGTGGGCTGCAAACTTGGAGCACTTTTGGGAAAACACACATCTTCTGCAAAATAAGCAGCTACTGTCTTGTGGGTGAGGTTAAAGGTGAGATGTGCTTTGCCCTGTTGCACTGACTGCAGTGTGAGTGTGGTTTGCAGTTTCTCAGCTGCAGCTGTCAGATGAGTGGCCTGAGTGGTGACAGCCACTGCCTTGGTTACAGAGGGAGTAGGTGGGGAGTGAGTAACTTGGTCATGGCTGTGAGGGCCCAGCATTCAGCTCTCTGAAAACCCCAGCCTTGCCTGTAGACTGCTCTCCACAGAAGGTGGGTGTTTGCCAGCATTATCCATCTGGCAGGGCTCCATCTTGTGTTCCACATTCCCTGTAAGAAGGAATAAAGTGCTTGCTGGCTGTGAAAGTCCAGCAGTGGCCATGGGTGAATAGACAGACTTCAAAGGAGATCCAGAAAGGTAAATCTGTCTCTAAAATCAGACGCTGTCAGCTGAGATCCTGATGAATCCAAACTGACAGCGCAAGAAGCGAGCAGTGGGCCAAACCATGCCAACCCTGACCCTTCCAGCAAGAAAATATCACGGGCAGCAAGTCGTGAAAGAAGATGACAGTTTTCATCTGGAGCTTTTCTGCACCTGCAGCTACAGCTGCTTTTCCTGGCTACCTAGCTCTCACCTCCTGCTAATTACCACCGACAGCCTGCTGCTTTGTGCTGCCCTGTGGCCGACCCGTCGTGCAGGCAGCTTTCCTTGGTGCAGCTCAAGCTGCTGTCTCTGCAATGCTCCAGCATTACCCTCCAGATTAAACCCATAGTGCTTTGGTCATGTCACTGTAACAACCCAGCATTAAACCTGTCATTAAAGCAGTTTGCTGAGCATGATCGTGAATTTAGCACTGGCACCTTTTGACATTAATTTCAATGTCCCGTGTGGTATTTCCTGGTGATGTGCAGAAGTCTCCTTGCAGGGTGTCATTATGCCTTCTATATGCACTATTTGTACAGCAGAGAATGATGTGATTTTGGGGTTTTTTTTCTCAGGCTATTGATATTGTTTATTTACTGATGTATTGCTGTCGAGCCTGAAGGTCTCAGTTGAGATTCTGGTGTTTTTGTGAATGTGGGTGTGCACGTGAGTCTGTGCATAAAATATGCCCCTGTTTTTCCTTGGGGCTTGGAGATGCAGCCTGCCTGTATAATGTCTTTGATGCTTGTTTGGGGTTTTTTGTAGTGGGGAGTGTTTTTAGTCATGAAATGTTAATATGCTCCCAGTAGAGGTAGCAGTAGGAGATGCTGCCTTTTGATCAGCCTGGAAATGCTGTTTATGTTGGCAGGTGCAGACAGGAGGTGAGGGTGAGTTGGGGCAGAGGTGGGCATAGATGACTGACCACTCTCTTTTCAAGTGTTCCTGTACCTATTAGCTCTTCCTGCTTGTCTTTTATTTTCTTTTAGTTTCTGTTCTCAGAGGAGATCGTAATAGACAAGCTCTGTTTTCTGAGAGTTTCAGATTTTCCATCTGTCTTAGCGGGCAGAAACATTTGCCATTAGATGAAGAGTTAAAGACATCTTTTCATGTGAGAGCTCTACCCAGGTTTGGTCCTCTGCAGCAGAGGGTCCTGATGCTGTTTTCCTCTAACACATCTGTGTGTGGGTCTCAAATTCTGCTTAATGTGATGCACATCAGGGCAGGCAGGGACAAAACCTGTGCCTTTGCCTTCAATCCACTTGTCACCGTGTTACTGCTTAGTCTTATGCCTGTTGCCTGAGGTGTCAAGATTTTATATGGAAAAGAAGGAAGCTCACTGGCTGCAAGTCTCCTGGGGTTTGCTGAACATGAAGAACTCTTGGGCTGACTGACTGCACTTAAAACACATCTGCCTGGGATCGTTCTTCCAAGCTCCCTACTGGAGGGGAGAGACACACAGAAACAAAGAGGAAATCAAGTAGGAATCTTAATATTCATAAATCAAGTGGTGAACTTATTCCATGTCCTGAAAGCCAAGCACCAGTACTGTTAATGAGGTTAAAGAAGTTTAATTGGCGGGTATGGAGCAGGAAACTGCTATGAGTGTAAATTCCAAATGATTAATAATAGGCTTTTAGTTAATGAGTGAAGTGGACAAGGCTCTGGACAGATAATCTGAAAAAATTTGGTGTTCACCATGTATAGAAATCTGATGATGTACCTGCAGTGTCATCCAGCCAAGGAAGAGCAGGAGGAGAGGGGAGGCTGGTGCACGTTTGTATGTTCTCACGTGTCCTTGTGGTCTCCCAAAAACTGTTTCCAGGAGAAAATACTCTCACAGGTTGCACACATTGTCAGTCAGTGCTGGATGCTCTGGCCTTCCCACTGCTGTCTGCAGCATTACTGGCTTTGGCTTTCTCAGCTCTGTAGGAAGATATTCATTTCCACTAACACTTCAGAGGAAACAGGGTTTAACTTGTTTCCAGTAAAGCTCTTCAGTGATTTTGACAAGTTGGGCACTATGTGGAAACCAGCTGCAGGTGACACATAAAATAAGAGTGGGTTCCCATGTCCAGAGAAATATTTTGCATACTGGGTTACCTTGTCTCTTTTAAAGCGTACTTATTTCAGGCCAACAAAAAAAAAAATTCCTGCTGTTATCTACATTTTTAGAAGTAATCTTATAAGGCTGTTTCTTTTGTAGTCACTTAAAAGGATAACTGGAACTATTATCAAATTTATTATCACATTTCCCACTGACTAAGCCAACCAACTCTGGTGGCTGACTTGCCTCTGGGCAGCACTCGTGCATTTTATGCTATGAAAAATATACCTCAATAGCCTCTCATTTTCTGTATTTGTTGTTTCTTAGGCATCCATGCACCTTTGGTTGACAGTGTGTAATGTCACCACACACCCAATCACGCTCCAGCCTATGGAGGTTTCCAAGGTAACACAGCCACAGTCGCAGGGAAAAGAGAAAAGTGAAAACAAAGCAAAAAGCCCTGCAGCATTTCTATTTACTCAATAGTTTAAAAATCACTAAAGAGTAATCCTTTAGTATAAGCTGTCTGTATTGTCATGCTAAACAGGTTTATCTTACTTCTTGATTCTCATCGGGCTGTGGAATGCCAGTTTAGAGCATTCCTTGCTGATAAGGGTGGTTACTGGAGTCTTGTTGGGAGCAGACCTTAGGAGATACTTCAGAAATACAGACAACACAGTCAGTTCCTGCCTGTCCTGCAAGAAATACAGAAAAAACCTGTTGTATCAACACTAACAAGCAGGTTGTCCTTTCCAGCATCAGTCTGAATGATGGTGAATGGCTGAAGTTACTGCAGCCCTATATGCTTCATGACAGTCTTTCCTTCTGAAAGACCCTGGCTTTATTTACACCAAATTATTGTTCCCTTTCAGTTGGTATAATGAACTAATTAGTGGAAAAATTATCAGCAAGTGGTATTGTTTTAAATTCCCTCTTTCAGTTCATGGCAAATCTGAGCACACCATATTTCAAATGGTAGCAGCTCATCTTAAAGTGTTCCCAGGATTTCTTGTCTTTATTATGTTGACTTCTGGCAATGTTGAAAGAATTGGCTTAGGAACAGAAATTATATTAGCTTTGTGAGTGAGTGGTTTCTTTGCTTGTGATGGACAGAGCTCAAGTGGCTGCATAAGTACTATTACAGCTATAAAGTCATGTCACATGCTTCTTTGCATTTTCCAGCTTTTAGATGGCTTTATCCAACCCCTCAGATCCTCTGTGTCTGTGGGGACACCAGGAAGATTCATAAAGAGCCCCCAGAAGTTTGTGGGGGTTCTTTTGTTCCTCATGCTTGTGCCACCTCAGCTCAGCTGTGATGCCTCTGTTCAGCAGGGCTCTGTTTCCTTGTTGGGTGGCTGAGAGTGTCTGAGTCTGTGAAGGTGATGGTGGGCAGGGGAAGGAGTCAGAGGCCATGGGAGAGCAGTGCCTTGTGCCTTTGGTAGAGAGAGCACAACACAGGAGCTGGAGGAGCTCACACCTCTGGGTGCTGCTTCTGGTGAGCAATCCTGTCTCTGCTCAGGATGCAGAGACTTTTCTTGAACATCATCCCTCAGCTTCCCAGGCATTTACCTTAAAATTGCACTATGGACACACAGCATCGTGTTTGGAGACTGATGCAGAGTGCAATAACTTGTTTCCTGCTGAGGACAGAGGGAACCAGAGGGTTTGGGGATCTTTAGGTGAAATTTGGGATCTTTAGGTGAAACCAGCCGGAGCTGCTGCTGCCAGGCCCTGCCATGCTGCCACATCTGCAGCCATCCATGGCACTCCTGCTGGAGCCCCCTGCAAAGACAGACAGGGCAGTGCTGGCAGGATGCTCCTGGCAGCAGTGCCAAGACTCTGGAGCTGCTCTCTGCACCCACTGGCTGTGAAGTAGCCCAGATCTGGGGATATTCCAGGAATGCTGCAAAAACCACCTGTTCAGGAAGGTCTTTGGAGGGAGTCGGGTGTTGGCTTCCCAAGCCTGGCAGCTGGTGCAAAGGAGTGTTTTTCTAGGAGACAGGCTTGCTCTGTTCCTTCTGGAGTAATTATGAAATGCTGGTAGGGCTTTGTTGTATTAGTAATTACTTGTCAAGGCACCTGAAGCTTTTCATTCTTAAAAATCAAACAGTACATAGTTCCTGAAGAGCCAAAGCCTGGGTAATAGTGGAAAGGAAGTTTGCAAAGCTGTTAAGAGCTGCTTTGCTCACTTTTGGAAAGCACTGGGAAAAATTTCTCAGCTCTGTCCATCACCCTCTGTGCTAGAAAATGGGCACGGAACAGTATTGAAGCAGCTACCTAAGCAAAGAAGGGGGATGATGGATACTGTGCCCTTTTCAAACGATGGTTCACAAGGCATTTGAGGATTGTTCTTCAGAGACCATTAAAAAGGAGCTTTAGAGGAGGAAAGACAAGTTTTGTGGCAGGCAGGATCAAGAGGGATGTGTGTTTGCTGGGTGGTGTCATAGATCAGAACCACACCAACCTTTTGAAACTAATTGCAGCAACGAGCAGTGATGAGCTGCACTTGCCTGTCTCTCTTGTGTGTCTTAGGCAGCTCCTACTTTGATATTTAATTGCCTCTAGAACTGGCAATGCAGATTATTGAGTGGGGGGAGGGAAAGGAATAAAAGCTTTTGCATGGTCTAGTTGGAGATTTTGAGGGAAGGTGTGAGATGTGGAAATGCCTGGGTAAATGTTTGTGTGCTGGGTGGGATGGGGCTGTTACTGGTGGGAACATCAGTGGGAACAGAAGGAAAATGTGCTCTGAGATTCCAGGGCTGAGGCTTTGCCGTGGTCTCTGCTCAGCAGAGACGTACAAGCCCTCTGTGATTCCTCCAGCTGCATCCCAGCAGCAGCACTTCAGAGGAGGGGCAGATGCACAGAGCTTATCTGGTTACATCTCAATAGAGCTCCTGCTTGATATTGATGGGAGCTTTGAAGCTCTCCAGCCACCGTGCATAAATGTTTCAGGGGTAGATCCGCTCTGAGCGCAGAGCTGGGTCTGACTCATCCCAAGGAAGCAGCCCCTCCTGCCTGGCAGCTCTTCTTCCCCAGATTTTGCATTCTCTTTCTTCTGTCCCCACTGGTTGTGTACCTTGTACCACCCATAATCAGCTGGAACATGCAAATAGTGTTATTTGCCTGTAAAAAATTCTGATTTTACTTAACTTCCTTCCAGTTATAGAACTAATTTTCAATACTTAACTAACACCCAGCGTTTTGTGCCAGTGGCTTGGGCTGGCCACCCCAAACATTGGCCTGGCTAAACAGAGTGTTTGTGTGGAAGGCATCCCTGCTGTCCTTCCATCAGGAGATACTCAGTTGTAACTGCAATATTTCTGATTGTGATTGAAAACTGTTGGTTTTGCTGTGACCTCTCTACATTTCCCTGCATCTTGTGCCCAAGCAGGAGTTCCTGGCTGCCCTTGCACCATTCTGCAGGGAATTAGAAGGGATTTCTCTGTCACTTATTATCAGGGGACTCTCCCTCTAGCAGCAAAGTCTGGCTAAAGCAGAGCACAGTGCTTTTCCACAGCCCAGCCTGTACCACACTTGGACTGCCATCCCTCTTACCTTAACATTACAGCTTTAGTCAGCTGGTGATGCTAAATTTGCCTCCCATTTCTTTGCGACCACAACAGGCTAAAATTATCATCGATGCTAATGACCGATTATTTAATTCTATTTTTCCCGATGCCCCAGGTCACTGACTCGGATTACGAGGACGAGTTGCCCAAGCACTCCTTTGTGAACCATTACATGAGCGACCCCACCTACTACAACTCGTGGAAGCGGCAGCAGAAAGGGGTGAAGCAGCACCCGGCGTCCTACAGATACGAGGAGTGCACGGCCGGCGAGGCAGAGCCCTATTTCCAGACTGTCATCACCACACAGAGCTCAGGAGGGGTGTACACCCCCACGGGGCAGCCCGCGCCCGGCTCCCGGACTCCAGTGACAGGATTCTCGTCCTTTGTCTGAGCTGGGACACGGCGGGACAGCCGCAGTGACCGCGTGTGCGGGTGGCGCTGAACTCTGGGGGACCTCTCTGATCAGGGTAGAAACGGATGGGAACACACCTGAGGCTGGGTTGATGGTGTTTTGGTTGGGTTTTTTGGTTTTTTGGTTGGTTTTTTTTTTTTTTTTTCCTTTCTGAAGACAATCAACTCTATGAAAACACGGAGCTGAACTAGCTGAATCTTTGTTTAACAAAACAAAAAGACAAAAAAGGAATTCTGAACAGTGATGATTTTAACCACTTGTGAATAGTAGGGGTTTTTTAACCGCTTTTTGTAACACTGCTTCAGGAAGCAGCTCCCATGCCCTTCTCCTTCCCTCTTTCTTTCTCTGCCCTCCTCCTGTCCCACTGCTCCCAAACAAGCAGGTGAATTCCCTAGATGCAATGAGTGACTCTGTGATGTGATTTGAAGAGAAAACATAAAACCTCCCAGGCTCCTTTTTCTTCCTTTTTCTCTACTCTTTTTTATTTTCTTTTTCTCTTCTTTTTAATTTTTCTCTGTCATCAAAGTTAAGTAGTAAAACATAGAAAATGGTCACATTTTTAGGTGAAAAGCAGACACCTCTCTTCTCCTCACTGCTCCACACATTAGGAGTACTGGCTGATCAGTGTAGGCTCAGATGTGTCACCATGTCTGCTCTAAGCTCACTACTGGTGTATTTATATTCAAATACTGACCTGCTTTTCTTTCTTCTTCAAATGGGACCTGCTGCATTCTTTAAATATTCCAACTCCAGGGCCTTTGAAAGAGGAGATGGCTCAAAAGAGCACTGTAGGCAGTGGTGGGTGAAGCAAGTGGGAAGAATTCAGATGTAAGGTCAGTTTATTTTTGGTGTGGCGCTAATGCTCCTTGTGGACTGCGTGTACTACTTGAATCAGTCATTTTTTAAAAGTCAGAGGACACAACCCAGCAAGCCAGAGGAATTTTTCAATTAAAATTGCAGTGACAACCTAGAGAGTTTACTAATTGATGAGGGTTTCGATCATCAGAGTTACCATGCCCTGCCAACAGAAGTTGAACATCCTTTCTCACACAGACTCTGCAGTTCTGTTTATTAGTCTGTAAAAAAGTACAGAGTGGCAGGGTTTGTTTGATTTTATTTTTTTTAGTACAAAGACACACCACACAGACTGGGTGAGTTTTGGTGTCCACAGGTGCCTTTTATTGATTCTGCAGCTTCATATCTGGGAGAAGCAAAAAAGTGTCTCCAAATAAAGCTAACCAGGTTTTTCAGGCTTTGGGGTCATGAATTTACCTTGTGCACATTTACAGCCTGCTCTGTGCACTTGAACCTACAGCCTTTGGAAGGAAAAGAGGAGACTTTTAGTTTATTTTTCATCTTTTTGTACAGCTCACTTTGTGTTTTCTTCTTTTCTATCCTTTTTCTGAGTCTGTCATGTTTAGTAGCAAGTTGTTTACTCACAAGTTGTCAGGCATTGAAAGAATCCAAGTAGCAACAGTCCTGGGTCACCAGACTTTTTATCATAAGATTTTGAAAGATGAATTTGGAAGTAGGAGAGTCCTTGCCACGTCAGGATCTGGCATTTTCTTCCAGGTGGATAAGCCAGGAAAATTGGTGCTTGCTTGGTCCTGTCAAGGCTCATGTGGGCGTTGTTACCACAGAAAATTGTCCCTGTCCTCTCAAGGGATGTGGGACATCTGTCGCAGGGGGAGGTGGTGTCTTCAGAGCAGGTTGTTGAAACCAGGCTGCCCAGGGGCCTGGCTGGGAGTATCCTGGTGGCAGAACCAGAACAGGTCCAAGGGCCAGCTCAGCCTTGCTGTCACCTTTCAGTGCCTCTTGGACAGGGCAAACTATCTCAGAACTGCTTTGACTCTTGGGCACTGCCTCCAAGCACTGCTGCTCTTGGTGCATGCACACTCTGCATTGCTTTGGCACTGGATTGCTGTTCCTCTCCAAAGGTTCCAGGAAGAAAAAGTTCAAAACCAAAAACTCCAGTGGGTGTGTTTAAGGGCTTTTGAGTTTGGGATAATGATCTGCAGCTCATTAGATGGCAAGGGACTCGCAAACACGGCTGAGCCAAAACCCTGTGAGTCATCCCCCTCTCTGCACCTGGGTAGGATGTGTGTGGGATGGAGATGGGGCTCCAAAGAGGATGACTTGGAGTGTGCTGTGAAGAGGAATGCAAAGCAAACAAAAAACCCACTGCCTTCTGTGCACTTTGACTGTTCTCTTAAGCCATATGGACTTTGCTTTAATTACTGAACTGCCAAAATTTGTTTTCAGTCTGTGTTTTTTGTTTCTTAGACAAAATTATGTACGTGACTTTCTGATTTGTTTTCCTTTTCCTTTATCATTTCCTGCATCAGATTACATATTTTAGGCACGTTGTTTTTATACATTTGACACAACAATGCAATTGCTCTTGGAATTTTAATGGCCCTTGTCCAACAGGTGTAAGAGGTAGTGCTGCAGGAGGAGCCCTCCAAGGACCACTGAGGACTTTAGGGATGAAAATTAGTAGGAAGCAGATGGAACACCGAAGACTTTGCTCCAAAGGAAAGCATAGTGTAACTCCACATCTCCTGAATATTGCCTTACACTCGGTGTAAGGTGCAGTTACTCCCTGGGGTTGATCTGATACCACATTGAGGAAAAAAAAAACAAGAAAACCATGGGGAATAAAGGAAATGGACTTTGTGGCCACTGCTCCACTGAAGGGACAACACGGGGAGCAGCACAATCTATACAAAGCGAGAAGAGACTGTTCCTTTTTTCTCAGAACCAGCTGCAACTAAAAAGCCTGAGCTTGCTGAGGACCTGCTGAGTCGGCTCTGTGGCTCTTTTCTTCTGACTGCTGTCAAAATAACAGGTTAGGTGTGATTCCTTTAGGACCTGTTGATCCCAACAGAGGTGTTTCTGTTCCATTCTCATCCATACTGTTGTCACTCTTGGTTCTGTTGTGTTCAGGCTTTTCTGACACCTGGGTTTATTTTCGATAGGCAGCTGCAGAGTGAGGAGGTGCAGTGCCCTGCCCAGCCCTCAGCTGAGCACAGGATGTGTTTGCTGCTGTGCAGGATCGTGTGTAGCTCCATGTGTGATGCCTCCACCTTCTTGCTAACACGCTCAACTTGTAAAATATGGTTAATAGGTAGGTTTTATTTACTTCACATATCAGGGAAATTGTTTTATCTGGAAGGAAATACTCCATCAGTTAGGAAGAAAACTCTATTTCATTGCTGCAATCTTTGGAAATTGCAGCCTTGAAATACAACTTTTAAACATTAGTTGTCATGTTACAGTAACTTCACCCATTGAATTCGCTTCCATTTCCATCTTCCTGTTTAGAATAGTCTTGAAAAATGAAGGCTTAAAAAGCCTTCTTGGGATATTTTACTGTTATTTATTTATTTCCCTTCCCCTGTTTCTCAGGTCTCTTGGTGACTGTTACTGAAAAAGAAAAGCAGCATCATGAAATGACCAAGGGAGACATTTCAGGGAATGGTTTAATAGGAGCTTGTTTTTCATGCAATAGCTATAACAATATCCAGTCTCCTGCAGGAGAAAAGTGCCCAAGTCTTCACCCCCTGCAGGGCTGAGGTGACAGCAGTCACCACTGTCAGCAATGCCCCCAGCCCAGACCTCAAGCTGTCCCTGTCATAAATCACATGCAAAAGTGCACACATGAAAGGAGCTGTTCCAGCTGTTCCAGCCCACTGTGAGTAGAGCATTTTATCCCCCCCGAAATCCGTGTCACACGTGGTGTGTCCCCACCATGACCCACACCATTGGGTGGAATATTTTCTATTCCTGCCTTTTAATGCTCTGATGGTTGGGCAGGGCCAGCCCTGTGCAGGTACAAATGGCAGTGGTGACAAGGGACAGGAGAGGGCACTCCTTTGCTTTCATCAGTGCCAGTCTCTTATTCCCTGCCCTGGGAGTCACTCGTGGACTGCCCTCGTGGGGAGGGCGGGAAGAGGTGAGAGCAAAGGCTTTCATCAGCAGTTACTAAAGGAATCACACTTTGGCCAGTGATCCCACTTTTGGGAGCAGTTGGCATGACTGGAGAGAAGAAAGAAAAGTACACAGAAAAGAAACTAATCTATTACTCAAAAAGATTGCTTTTCCCTCTTCATTTTGAGTGTTAAAACCAGTGATGTTTTGCAGATGGGCCAAGATCTCATTTTTCTTCCTTATACCAAGGTCTCTGCCAGAAGCTGTGTAGCAATTGTTTGGACTAAATATCTTGACATGAGGATGCATTTATTATCCTTGCCATTGCTTCCCTCAAGAAATCCATTGGGTCATCCAAAGATTATCTAATCTACTTTCCAAAAAGGGAGGAGAGAGATCTTTATACATACAGAGCACTGGTGTCTTCTCCCACACATTACTTTCAGATACACAGGACAAGTTGTTGGAGAAAAATCCTTTTAGAAAAGGAATTTATCAGAAACTTTAAAAGAAAGCAAACAACCACATAAGAAAGATAACCTCTGGCAGAGGCATTGGAAATCTTGAAGTCCAGAAGCCTGTGCTGTGTAAGAGTGACCAAGATGCCAAGATCTCCTGTTTTTGCTGATCTCCTGTACCAGTAGCAGCGAGGACACATGCAATGAGGAGTGATGTTTGGAAAGGAAGAACCACAGAGCTGCTGGGACATGGGCAGGTTGTACTGCAGGCAGCTCCACTCAGCCTGGAGTTCCTGCTAGTTCAGTCACATTCCTTAGGTTGCTTTTATCGGTTGTTATCAGCACATGTGGAATCCACACATTATCAAGGTGTTCCTAGAAGCTACAAGGTTACTGGAGGTGAGCAAAGGTTTATTGGTGTGGTGTTCAAGCAAAGCCACACATGTGATGATGTGGTTCTACAAAACCCATTGAAACCTCCTTATGGAAACTACCCTTGAATTAGGAGCATGCTCACCCCAAGACTGAAACATGATGGGCCTGAAATGGCTCCACCTGACAAGTCACAGAATCCCAGAATGATTTGGGTTGGAAGAGATCTTAAGGATCACCTTGTTTGACCCCCCTGCCATGGACATGGACACCTTCCACTGTGACCAGGTTGCTCCAAGCCCCATCCAGCCTGGCCTTGGACACTTCCAGACCCTTCTGTTCCTCGTATTTCTGTACTCCTTTTGTCCCACCCTGCCCTCCCAGAAAAAGAAAGCTGCCTTGCACTTTGTGCAGGTGGAGAGTCTGCCCTGCCGACAGCAGAGAGCCACAATGGATAAGCACACACGTGACACCTGGGACAGGTGAGATTTGTTTGAACAAGGAGTGAAGTACCATTAGCACTTGAGATTCAGGCTCTGACTCAGAATTTTATCTTCTCAAAGCTGCCACTTGCCCACTTTAAATGGCCTTGGGGCCTCAAGACTTGACAGGAAATTCATTATTTCAATGCTGTTTGATCACTGTGCACTTTCTTGGGGCTTGAATCACTGGATACAGAGACTGGATTGGGGTTACAGAGCTTTATATCAAGGTGTTTTCCCATTTGTGTCCAATTCACTAGATTTGGGAATTTCTGCTACCACTGAATGGTGGCATTCTGCAGGTGGGAAGTGCCACCAGGGCTCCCTTTGATGTCATTACACCCCTGGGCCGTGCTGGGCCTGTCACAGTGCAGTGGGAGCTCTCAGGTAGCAGAAAGGTGCAAGAACCCCATATTCTGGTGAGTTTGTAGCTGGTCACTTTGCCTCTCTCGGGCTGGAGTCCATCCTCTGGTTTGGTATCTGCTGTCAGCTCTGGGGTAGGACCACCTCCCACAGCTGTGTCTGAGCTACCCTTTGTGTGCTCCGGTTATCAGATCATTGCTTTTAATTCAGTGTCTCCTTGGAGATTTGCCCTGGATTTTTGTTCCACACCTCTTGTTAGCCTCACCTTCACCACTCCACTATTTTATATGAGAAAGTTACTTCTTCTTTTGCAAACTTGCTTCTGATTAAAAGAACCCTTTTGGAAACATCTGTGTCCCTGGTACATTTGTTCTGTAGAACGGAAAAAAAGGATTTTTCCAGACTCTTCTGTTGCTGAAGAAGTTTCTGGGTGCCTTGCCAACATGCTCACGAGTTAACGGCTCAGGATACTGAGAATGTAACGCAGACTGAGGTTCTTCACTGTTTGCTCTGGACTGTAAAATCTTACAACCCCTGCTGCTTCTCAGCAAAGCTGACACTCTCAAATAATTTCCACACAAAATTTATCAGTCTTAAATATTTTATTATTTTGCAGCAGTAAACTTCCTCAGATCCTTAGTACAGGAGAATCAAAGCCCACTCAGAAACAGAACATCATGGGGCCAACATTTTTTATGCCTTTGTCCCCTCTCCAGCAGTGTTGTAGCAGTTGTTAATCAGTTCCCACAAACGTGCAGATGTTGGGGAGGCAGGACGAGCTCCCAGCTGGGGAAAATCAGGGCAGCTCTGTTATTCCAGGTTGATTGGTTGTGCTTTTCACCCACTGAGGATCTGGCCTAGAGAAGTAAACTAAACACAGTCAGGTCAGCTACAGCCCTGGTGGGAGAAATGAGGGCAAGAAATCAATGTTTTCCAAGTGGGAGAAGGAAAGAAAAAAAATAGTAAAACTGTGAAGGAAAGAACTCTCATTCTCCTGCTCCTGAAAGGATATTATAAATAATGCAGTGTTGTATAAATACAGGCAGCCCTTTGCAGCTGGGAGTTTGTAATAACCCAGAGGTATCACTGTACCCATTTTGAAGATGAAAATCCTCCCACCACAGAATTTCATGAACGAGACTTTATCCTACAAAATTGCCATAAGGTGCAGAAGTGCATTTTTGAGGCCATTTGGCTCCAAAGTGTATCATCCTCCAGCTTCCAGCCCTTACTCCTCTTGGGATGTGTTTCCCCCACACGTTTTTGTGGCTAGGATTGGAGCACGGGTATAAACATGGGAGTGGATGGGAAATCTGCCACAGTATTCGTAGCCTAAACAATACCAGAGAAAACAGATTGGCTTCCCGCCCTGCCCTGAACAGCACAAGCAGTGGCTTGACTGAATCAAGTAATCTGGGCTTTCATTACTGATCCTTTTCCTGCTATTTGTCTCTTTTGTTCCCTCTTTTTCCCTCTGCATTTTTGCTCCAGGGTTATTTATTTTTCTCTTCACTCCTTTTCTTTCCTGTTTTTCTTTTGTAAGCCTGCTTCTTGTTTTTATTATTTTTCCTCTCCTCCTCTTGCCTCACTAATTATTTTCATTTTGAACCTGCATTTCCCACAAAACCAAAAGGAACTTTACGTGAACACATGTTTTTTGTTGAGTTTTGGTTCACTTCCACGGTGCTCCAGGAGTTCTTTAGC